TTCTAGCTGTGTATATATATAGATAATTATATATAGTTGATATATTGTTATAATGTACATATTATATTTTCAACTTGCAATTTTTTGGGAACTGTTTGATAACACTGATTTAAAGTTCTAAGATCTCAAAACACATTATCCAAGAAATTTTAACTTCAAAGATATTTTTTTGAAGTTTAAAAAATATTACATTAATGACACAAACATCTTAGTGTGTTTTAGGGACTATACAGACAAGTGTGAATCTCTTATCCTAGCAACCTTTTTTTTTATCTCATGGTTTAACTTCTCACTTGACTTCTTGGAAAGAAACCTTTGTGCCTATGGTAGGATCTGTGTTGATCGATCTTGGGGATACTTTCTTCCTTTTAATACTCATTCTCAGAATTATTTTACTAACTTATCACCATTACTATTATATGTTTCACCCTTGACTTCTAATACTTTCTTACTCTTCATCGGTTGCTAGAGTTGACCTCTATGGTCAAGTCTAAGTCCTCTCATACTCATAGGGTACTTAGATCTCAACTGTTAACTATGAGTGTTGTTAATCAGTCCGCCTCTTCTTACTTTTTCTTATCACATTGGGTGAGTATATTTTGTTTATCTTTTTTAACCTTTTCTTTACTTGCCTATTTAGGGTTTACATAATACCTCTATGGGGTAACACTCACTTGCACACCCTTAAGATAGCATAAAACATTCTTTAATCATCAAACATATGTTCTCACCTAATGCTTAGGTATACCTCATATTTCTCACCATGTAACCAGGCATACATCTAATTTTCTATCCTGAATGAGAACAACACTCATACATAGCGCAACTGGGTTGCTTAGCACCATAACGCAACTGCGGGTTTTCGCATACTGTGAATAGGTCATGCTTAGAACCACTATCAGAGGTCTAACATTTATGTCTTTGGGTTCCATGCTTAGCATCACCATACCATAGATCAGGCTTCACTATTAGGATATCCTGTGCATAGCACAATAGGGTAGTGCTTATTAGTTATCGTCTATGAAGCACGGATACTTCAATTTGCTTCACGTATCCGTATCCGATACGTATCTGACACGATACTCTTAGATACCTCAGCGATACGTGTCAATGAAGTATCCTACTAGCCTTTAAAAATATTATAAAAAATTTATTCAATTTTGATACTTTCAGATACTTCACCGATACTTATTAGAGTAATACGTATCGATAAAGTGTTCAAATTTTTGAAAAAATTATGAAATATCCATTACAGCTAAATAAGATATATAAACATGTTTAATATAAAAACATAGAACTATTGGTCCTTGCTGAACTATAAATGAAAATTGTCTTCTATATAGATAATTTTAAGAAAGGAATGAAATTGGTAATATTAATTCTATTTGCAAATAATAAAAAGTAATTTATGATGAAATGATTTATAATTTATTTACTTTTAGTAATGTACAATAAGTATGTTTTTAATTTGGATTTGCAAAATAGCTATTATATATTAAATATTTATGAATTTTGATCAAAATTACAAGTACACATTTATTATATTGTATGAACATTGATATATATGATGACACGTATCTTACAAGTATCGTATCTTATATATTTTTAAATAATCGTATCGCCGTATCGGATACGTGTCGTATCCGATACGCGTATCGTATCGGTGCATCATAGGTTATCGTCATTGAACATTGTGTCAAGTACAAGTCCTTGGATTACTCAAGCTTAGGGTATGAAAGCCTTCCATTCACTCCAAGACACCTCAATGTGTCCCTAAACACCCCTACTACATTTCTAAACTACAAATTTGCTCTACAAACGTCTCAAACTGCCACATTCTCAAGATTTTCTGCTAATTAAGAATAAAAGGGGAAATGGAAAGAACATTAAGGGGAATGAAAGATAGCAAGTGGGGGGAGGCATTCTCCTCGGGGGACTATGTAGATGAGCTCCGGTGCCTGCTCTGTTTTTTTTTTTCTCTTCCTATTCTTTCTTTCTTTCTCCAGCTCCCCTTCATTAATTATGCTGTGTGTGGCTGGGGTTAGTCCTTCTGTTATCACTTCCCATATGGGTCCTATTGTTCACATTCCTGTTTATTTCTAAAGTCACGGCAATCCTGTAAATAATGTAGCCTAAGGCATCCTCAAGTAATTATTATAAAAGGTAGGGTCAGGTCACATAAAGGGATCTCTTCAATATCCAAAATTGGGGATGTTATAATGAATACCATGGGTGCCATTTGCTAACCTACATTGTTAGCAATGAATAATAGGGGAAAGTAAAAGTTATAAAGCTATTTTGTTTCTAGCTGTGAAACTTTCCTTTAAAATGGTAAAGATATGCAGTATATAGTAAAACCATTTATGTATTATTGGTGATTGAGGAGTTTACTTTCATGAACTCTGATAATAATTTTGCTAGCAGTTATTTTTATTGACACAACTTTAACCAAGATATCCGTTATCCATGTAAAATCATTTACTTATCATTTGGTGGTGGGAGAATTTATATTCATGAATTCATATAATAATTCTGCTGGGAAGCAATTATCTGAATTGATGAAATTTAATCAACGTCAAATAAGACCTAGCAATATCAAATGTTCCTTGTTTGGTATGACATTTTTTTTTCATACAAAATTACAAATATATTTATTTTGTAAACACATTCCATCATTGTGTCTTTCGTATTGCAATTGCTACATTGTACTGTGTAATGGTTTACAGAAAAAAAAAGTGTGATGATTTCTTAATATTCTTTTGTTGATCTGTCAGGTGATGTACATGGTCAATATTCTGATCTTTTAAGGCTTTTTGAGTATGGTGGATTACCTCCTGAGGCCAACTACCTATTTTTGGGGGATTATGTGGATCGAGGGAAGCAGAGTTTGGAAACGATATGCCTTCTCCTAGCATATAAAATAAAATATCCTGAGAATTTTTTCCTTTTGAGGGGTAACCATGAATGTGCTTCTATTAACCGTATATATGGGTTTTACGATGAGTGTAAAAGAAGGTTCAACGTAAGGTTATGGAAGACATTTACAGAATGCTTCAATTGCCTGCCTGTGGCTGCACTCATTGATGAAAAGATTTTGTGCATGCATGGGGGTCTTTCTCCTGACTTACTTAATTTGGATCAGATTAGAAATCTACAGAGGCCCACTGACGTGCCTGATACAGGTTTGCTTTGTGATCTCCTCTGGTCAGACCCTAGCAAAGAGGTTCAAGGTTGGGGAATGAATGACAGGGGAGTTTCATATACATTTGGTGCTGATACAGTTTCAGAGTTTCTTCAAAAACATGATCTGGATCTTATTTGTCGTGCTCATCAGGTTAAATTCCTGCCTCTGGTGTTCACTGTGTTATTCCAAGTCTTCAGGGTTAAGCTTGTATTCTCATTTTTTGTTTGACTAAAATAACCGAAACATTTCTAGCAATATTTTATCTATATATCAGGATTATTACAATTGCTTTACTTCATGCGAACTCAAAATTTCCATTTGCCATGTAAATTTGATGCAAATCTATGCATTGAGGCTAAACTTCGATGCCATTCATTTGCTTATGATGCTTCGTTCTTTACATTCCTGCATTTACATTGAAGGAGAGTATCTATCAGTCTACTGCGCTGTTAAATTTAAACTGGATTAATGTTGAGTTTTGACCAGGTGGTGGAGGATGGGTACGAGTTCTTTGCTAACCGACAGCTTGTAACAATATTTTCAGCACCTAATTATTGTGGGGAATTTGACAATGCTGGGGCTATGATGAGTGTTGATGAGACACTAATGTGCTCTTTCCAAATATTAAAGCCAGCTGATAAAAAATCAAAGCTCAACTTCGGAAGTACTGCTACTACTAAGCCAGGAAACTCTCCAGCCGGTGTAAAGGTAAGAAGATGTTTTTGATATCTGCTGATGCAATACATGCACAAAATCAAGTGGTATATATGTAGATATTAATGAATTTCAACCTTAACAGTGAATTGGTAATTTCATGGAAGCAGGCTTTTTTTTGTCTGGTTAAGACTTGATTTGTGAATCTTTCGTGGATGTTTTAGACTATATTTTAAAAGTTAATCATCTATACACTGCCAGTGTACAACCAATGAGATCTTTTAAAGTTGCTTATTTTATTATTATTTCATTAAATAAGCAACTGACATGGCACTATTAAAAGATCTTATTGGTTGCCAGTGCGAAAAAATTTTACACTGGCAGTGTATAGGTAATTAACTCATTTTTAAATAAGCTTAGGGTCATAATTGCCAAAATCTGATTTATTTCTTGCTTTGTTTTCAAAAGGTTATTCTTGAAATAGGGGTTTGTCATGATTACCCAAAATTTGGAGACAAGGTGTCTTGCTTGTTATTGTTGTGATAAATATTGTCCTGGTGTACATTTTTGTTAGTTTTTTGGGATTTCATAGATTTAGGGTGTATTTGGGAATTATTTGAGTTCAACACAACTGAAGATAAAAAAAAAGCTATACTCATAAGCTTTTACTTTTTCTGTATTGAAATGTGTTTTTTCATTGAATGTGATTTTAAACTGGTATACAAACATACACTTAACCATTTCAGGTATAACTTAGGATTGTTTGAATTATCTGATTTTACATGTGATAATCATACAAGGAAATATATGGGGGATTGAATTTACTTTAGCAATGGGCGTAGAATGCAGCTTTTCAATCTGAAACACAGAAGCAATGAAAGCCATTGGTTGAATTAATTGGTTCAATTGGACCCCTCTTCCCCAATTACAAATACTTGTTGCATTTGTTTATTTTCAGTGTGAAGTGTTTGTGCTTAACTAGCAAAGCTCATGCATCATCACCAAGCATCATTAGTGTCAATGTTTTGTAGTTGACATGCATATACCAATATAATTCTGAATTTCTCTTCTCGTTGCTTTTTAGTCCTTCCTGGGTACAAAAGTTTGAAGTTAATTTTGGTGAAATTGCTGCCACAACCGGTCAGCTTGGTCTTGAAGATGCAATAGTTGCAAGAAAAGGAAAGTAGAGTTCCATTTGGTCTCCTATGATATTTTCAAATTGTAAAAACAAAGGGAAACGGCATGATGAAACAATGTAGACCGTTGTTTTCCACTATTACAAATTTGCATTTTGAGGTGGACAGTCATAATCTCCTCCCTTGTTTTCTTTTGTACACTAATAGCTGGTATATGTTGTTCTGAGTTGTAAGGTTCTCATAAATTGATGTGTACATCTGCATGTGTTCTGAAAACTAATTAAAAATGCCCTTACAATTGGTGTATGAATGGCAGTGAAGCTGGTTAAAATGGATATGGTCGAGTCTCGTTTATTTTTTGGTAGTGATTGTCACACTGGCTGAAATCCTCTGTTAACATGGGATCTCCCAAGTCCTTACCTTTTACTTTAATACCTGTGAAACATGATTCAACACTTCTATACGAGACAAAAGTCCTCTCGCCTTTTGGTTCGTGACATTGCATTATATAGCTGAGACTCTTGGGCATTTGTTATATAGTTTAATACATACGTATTTTCAGTATAAAAAAATTAATTATCAATCAATTACAAGTTTTTTGTTGTAAGAAAGTGATAGAACGAGGACATTCCAACACTACCAATGACGCAATGACATGCTGTAATTTTCAACAAAAGCCCATCCAAAAGATTATTGCACAGGCCTTTAACCACTTGTAACAACTAACAACATAGACTCTAGACACCAGGAGATCTTTCTCAAGAGGGTTGTTCCTAAGCAGTATTTTAGTAGTGTCAAAGGAGGATTAAACCGCGTCCATAGGGAGGATAATGTTTAACTTCAAATCCTTGACTACTGGTACTAACTTTTTTCTTTCTACATCAGTATGATTATCTATACTGATAGATATTAGATAAAGTGCATGCTTCTTTCGGTAATTGTTTTTTTCTTCCACAATTGTAGGCGATTATATCCTTAATTTTTAAGATAAAAAATAAATATTTTTAGTAACTATCATTAATCAATTCTAAATAATTGTTCATACTATTATATATTTTTATTTTACTTCTATTTAGAGGCACTCTCTTCGCTAGTGAATTATAAAAAAAATTATTATAAAAATCCTTATCATACATAATAAATTTTTATTACATTTCAATATAAAAAATTACACTATTAATATATATATATTATTTATTCTTCTGTGACCAAATTCCCTATAGCTTAAAAGGAGTTGTTGATTGCTGATGTATTCAAGCATAAAAAAAAAAGTAGGCTCAATAAATTATTAGTATGTTTGGTTACAATAATTTAATTAACGATGAAGCCAACTCTTCGTAGCTTCAAGATTTTTGTTTATTTCAGTAATGCTACCGCTAAACCAAACATACAATATAAACTTTCAAATTACTTTTGATAAGTTTTATTATTAGATTATTTTTCTCCATCAAGTTTATACCTTTTCTTTTACCGAAAGTTTATACCTTTTTAATTACTTACAATATCGAAAAGCAACGGATCGAACAAAATTTCATATTTGTAACATATTATTTAGTCACAATATTTACTTTATGTAGTATCGAACAAATAGATATATTGTGTTATTTTACACACGATTATAAATGAGAGAAATTTCAATGAAGGACTTGTTAGAAATTAGTTATATTATGTTAATGTATGAAATTGAAGGAAACAAAATGAATATATTTCTTAATTCATGCATTATTTTATAAATTAAAAATATTCGGTTATTTTCACAAGTGATGAAAAAAAAACAGAAGAGAAAGTAATTGAAAGCGTTGGCAATGTGACAGTGGACACTAGTTCATTTTAAATTAAATAGAAGTGCATGGTTTTCATCAGCCCATGGTTTGAGCCACATTGTTTTTAAATTTAATACTTTTGGGTAATTGTTTAATATTGTGCGTCTGTCTGCCTATGATGCCTCGTACAGAATATGAAATTGACGAGAATTGGGTGTGTTTTGCTACGCTGGAACATTTTGGAGACTACACATGTAATTTGTGTGTGCGAAAGGGATTGGTCGTGTAGTTTCGATATTGTTAAAAGGTTGAACGTTCAGAACATGAAACGTCGAGACATTAGCAACGACGTCATGAATTAGACTCACACAGTCATATTGTTTGTCACGGGAAGACAGACAAGTATTGAGAGTAACCTCATGCAGCACCCTTCACAGCTACAAGCCAAACATAAGATGTTCATTGTCTCATTGTTCTCTATTATTGAATTTTGGGTCCCAATTCATCCTAAATATATTCTAGACTAACTGTTCTATTGCTTAATGATAATCCTATCCACTTTGGTTGGACTCAAATATTACATTGCAACTAATAATGTGGCACATGGGTAGGACCATGGTTGGTGGTTGGTACATGTGGTGGGTTTAACACTTGGTACTTTGATGCTATTATTGCTGTCAAAGCTATCATTTTTTTAATGGTAAAAATAACCTCTAGTTGGAATCTTTCTCAGCAACCCAAACTACGATAGAGAAAAAAAATATATTATGGAATCACTTTCACTTTGAGGCACCCGATGTGAGAACACCTGTTTCGGTTTCCAAGATTCGCATCTAAATTATTATTTTTGCTCTGATGTAACTAACTTTGGTTCTAATGACACTTAGTAAAATATTAAGAGATACAAATATATTTAAAAAATAGTATCTGGGTGCGAAGAATTTGATTAGTATATATATGATTTTAGATTCTAATTTTGTTATCTTTGTAAAAAAAATATATAGAAAGAATGGCTTTTTTTTTTTTTAATGAAAGATGGAAATTTAAGTTGAGTGACCTACACACAACTTAAATAGTATCCGATTTGTTTGGAATCTTTTATCTTGTTTGTGACTTACACACAAGATCCACCACACGAAGGGCATTGTTTTAACAAGAACATTTATTGTCATATCTTTTCAAAAAACTACTTATATCTAGAAGTATAAAGAAAAGAAAAACGAATTAATATAATTTAACATCTTAAAATGAATAAGTATACGATATTTTTGCTATTAAAATTGTGAATAAAATGATTAAATAAACTTTATCTTTAAAGTAGGTGTACGTCCACCACCCAATCAAAAACTAATAGCGACATTTCCATAATTGAGTGAAGTCGAAATACTAAGATACTTGCAACGAGTAGCAAGGGTTTTTTGTGGAAGTACCACTCCGTCTGTCATAAATTGAAGAAAATTACGTAGATATGTGATTTATAGCAGTAGTTTGCTGTTACCACTGCCTAGTTTTCTTTCCTATCCATTTAACATTTATTTTATATTGAAATTAAGCTCTCTTCATCTTACAGTGTCCCACTGATATAAAAATAATTAATGATATAAGTGAGATATATAGTTACAAGGAATAATGAGTTTGGTCATAAATCTTTCATCCAATAGGTAAGGAATACATAAGTACTTTGTTAATATCTACCAGTATCGAGGTGAATGGATGAAGGTAAATAGCAAGAAAAAAACTAAAATTAATATATAGTTAAAAGAGCTTAATTGAGATTTGGCTACAAGATATGGTAACACAGTTAGGAAGTGTTGAGCTTAATTGAGATTTGGCTACAAGATACGGCTACGAGAGAGTTATTACACATATACACATGTTTTTATATTGGTGAGATATTGTCCGTTTTGAGCTCAAGCCCTCACCGATTTGCTTTTGGACATCACCCAAAAGGTTGGATTCACTTGCGAGCCATTATACTTGTTGAGCCGCTTTGGACCCAAGACCTCACGGATTTGCTTTTGGATATCACCCAAAAGGTTGGATTCACTTGCCAGCCATCATACTCGTCAAGCCGGTCACCTCAGACCATCTACTCTAATACTACTTGTTGCATTCTAGAAGGGTTACTAGACATATACACATGTTTTCATGTTGGTGAAATATTGTCTATTTTGAGTTCAAGTCTTCATAAATTTACTTTTAGACATTACCTAAAAGGCTTCTCAATCAATAAAGACAATTGTATATATATAAATTTATGATCCTCCTCTTATTTGAATGAAGTGAAATTTGGTTGCATCCCATAAAAGTGTTAAAGGTTAATTAAGTTGTAATGTAGGCAGTTGAGGAAACAGTATGTAAGAGTATATATTTAGTTGGAAGCAGGAATCACGTTCACGGTTCACCTTAACTTATAAAACAATAACTCCGGTGGGCCCCATCATGTGCCGTAGCAGAGTAGCAACTGCCAAACGTGGGTCGGTACAGGTGACTAGGCCCACTTCCTAAGTAAGTGCTCTCACTCATCACACTTTCTAGATAATCATCTTTTTTATTTGTTTACTTAAAAGCTGATTTTCATCTGTTAAGGATGAAATGAAACTCTATGAATATAGTACGTTACTATTCTTTTTATTACATCATAAATTATAATTTAAATTCTTTTCAAGATTTATATCATAATATATTTATTTTTATTAAAAATATTATGATTAATTTTAAAAAAATAATAGCTGGCAAGCATTAGAAGGAAGTTACTGCTGATTCCAATGACGTGGTAAGGGGGACAAGAAGCCCAGCCGTACGGTTGGTTACTTTAAAATTGAAAAAGAAATATACAGATGTCATGCGTTCCAATACGCAGGTGTACCAAAAAATAAGTGATAATTGATAAGTATTCCACTCTCTAGAGAGCTTATCACATTCAATAACATTTTTCTTCTCTTTTCTCTCTTACAACTCCACCATTAAGTCTTATTTGCTAAAGAGAAAAAATAAATAATAAAAAAAGAAAAATATGGAGAAATGTCAAAAAAAAAAACACAAGAAAGACTTTGTGATCTATAATATTTTGTACTTAACTTGAGCAAATTTGCTTTTTTATGAAAAGTATATGTGATCTTTTCCAAAAAAAAAATAATGATATAAGACATAGAGCAAAATATAAAATTGAGAAAGAGATTGAGTACAGTGAAAATAGAAAAAGAAGATGAGAAAATATCTGGTAACTATTTTTAGTTTTAAAATTTCAAAACATTTATTTTAGAGACAATTTTGAAAAGTTAATACTTTTTTTTAATGAAAACATGATTGTTAAATAGTATAAATTTATTTTAAAGGACAAATTTCAAAACAAAAAAAAAAAAAGTGAAAAAGGAATAAAAATGCATTTTGCCAAAATGAAATGGAAATATTATACCATGGTAAGCAGTGTCTTAAAAATCGGATCGAACTGACCGGTCAGACCAGTTAAATCAGAAATTGATGATTTAGCTAGTTCGAATTTTGAGTTGAATCGGTTATATATTTGACCTGTTTAAAATCGGAGTGAACTAGTTAGTTTTCTGGTTCAACTAGTAAACCGGTGAGCCAAACCAGTTTAACAAAAAAAAATTAAAATAATTTTTTATATATATTTCTTTATACAAAATAAAAAACAAATTTAAATAAGATAAAAATTAAAATTTAAGATATAATATAAATTTATTAAAATTTATAAGTATAAAATATATTTAATATAAATTTTTTTAAAAAAATTAATAAAAATTGGGTTATACAATTCAATAAATGACCTAGCAGTTCAATTTTTAATTCACTAATCAAGTATTCTAATTAATTTAATAATGGATCGAATTTTTAAAATTAGGATGGTAAGGAAAGAAGTAGCGTCTATTTGAATAGTGTAGGAAATTAGAGCATTAAAAATATTGAGATGTGTGGTGCATTAGTTTTATGGAGCATCTGTGGGAAGAAGAGAAGAGCAGAGTGATAAGAGAATCCAGATTCCATGGGTGATCTCAAATTCTGATTCCTGAATGTGCATGTGCATACACTATTAATTATAAGAATATAGAGTTTGTGTTGGCACACATTCGCATTTGGCATATGCCATGCCATGGATATATCATACATCATACATGGGTTATGGACGCAGCCATCCTTTGGGTTCTAGAAGCTGTAGGAGGATATTCGCTGTTCAACTTTGAACTGTATTTTGAATATATGTCCGTTGCATCACATTTTCACATCCAACTTTCTCCCACGGACCCACAATTATCATGCAACACTCGTTTCAAATTCAATTCTCTTTTCCAAAAAAACATTTTTTATTAACTTAGTTTTTACTGTATCTTTAATATTAATTTATGACTGTAAAACAATAAAAAAGTTTAATGAAAATAAGAGTGACTCACATATTTCAGCAATATTATTTGGTTTATTTTACTTATGTTAATTATATCATTCATCTTATCATTTTGAGTTTATTATTGAAAAAAGTATATATAAAAAATCAGATGAAAATAAAATAAAAAATTGAGGGGCTCCCATAGATGAGTGTGTATTGAGAATGGGCCCATATGATTGACGTTTGATAAGGGCATAAATAAATGGCATGGCTTATTGGCTTATCTTAAATTCACCATTTACTACTTATACACGTGACATCACTGCATACGCCTTTAAATTCTAAACCACCTTCTCATTCACTCTTCCCCATACCTAACCAATACACTTTTTTATTATTCATAAAAATTAATGAAAAATAAGTCAAAAGTTTTAATATTTTAAGATTTTAATGAATTTCACTTAATCATTAAATTATGTTTCATAATTATTCTTACCACTTCTTATTATGTTATTACTAAATTTTAAGATATTAATTAAAATTAATAAAAATATTTATATGTGTAATTAATGTATATCAATGCTATTTTAATACGAGATTTTTATTTTAATATTTAATTAATACTTTTAGAATATTGAATAACACATCATTATCATCCTTACATTAACATATTTTCAAAGTCAGCCTTTTAGTTTTATAAATGTAACCGTGTTAAATATTTGAAGATAAAATTTTGATATTTATACTAAACTTATTTAAATTAAGCATGATTGTCTTTGATAAAAACAAATCTAGTTTTTAAAATAAAGTTAAATATTATAATCATTATTTTCTACTCATAATAGTCTTATTCCATTTAAATATATCCACCATCTTAAAAAAAAAGGAGTAAACTTTGTAGTCATTATTTTGTTACACACGTTTTTGTTAATATAATTTTTAAAATAATTGATAAAAATCAAGAAAGAATCTTATTTTTTTATATTAAATATTAGTATAATTATTTTACAATATAATGATAGTGTAGACTATTTTCTAAGTTTTTACTATATATATATATTTTGTTTTATAAAAGAGAAATGATAAAATATAATTGCAATTAAATAATTTACTTGTTATACTTTTTACTAGAATGGAGTACTAAATATATATATATAAAAAAAAAACTTTCTAATGTTATATGGTACGTATAATATAGTTATTAAATATATAAAGTTTGACCGGTAGAGCGTCATGACCCATGGTCAGTTTCATTTTCCAATTCCAATCTATCAAAACATATGGCAAATTATTAATGCTTTCTCATCGTTCAAGTAAAGTTGTAAAATAAGATAAATCATACTTCCATTTAAATTAAATAATTTAAGTGAATGAAATACGAAATATATTAAAAAGCTTTCGAATGTTACACGATATAATGAAGCTTCTTCCCTTACTGTACCAAACAAGTAGCTGGTCATGTTATATTATCTATTAAAATATTAAGATTTGTTCTTTATAATAATTATACCAAAGTTTATACTTAATACTCCATTGAAGCACTAATAACATAATTTTAAAAAATATATTTGACGTGTTATAATTATAAAATATAGATTCCAAAAGTATTTGATGCTATTTTTTATGTATATATATTTTTGATGAAATTGAGAATAAAATATAAGTGTTGAGTTGCCTGCAGTTTGTTTTTCCCTGTATTTGTTGTTGAAGATAGTGAGATTGACGTAAGTTCCGGAGAGAGGGCACTACTTTAGGAAAAAAGAAGCATCATGATAAGTCTACTTTATAGTCAGACCTAACAGTTTTGATTTATTAAATAGAGTCTGTTTTATAGAAACAGAATAGTGGCACTCCACATCACATGCCCTTTCTTACTTCTCTCACGGCTTCTCCAGATAAAGACAAACCATTCTGCATAATACTAATTCCCTACTAAACCCAAAAAAAATTTCCATTATGTTATTCTTCACCATGCCTAAAACGGACCAAGTATTGCAAGTTATTTTTAATTTTTAATATGACCACCTATATTTTTATTTTAATCAATGTTGTAAGAGGGAAAACACAGTAGCATAATATTTATAGAATAAAGATAATAAAAATTTCAACAAAATGAATATTAAAAATCGATTAAAATGATGCAAATATGAATTTAAAAAAAAAACACTGATAATACGTATAAAAATTAGATGACATAATTTTAAAAATATCAAAGAATTATTAAAAATCGCATAAATTATGAGTTACTTATTTTACACTTAATTTTGCTTTCATCTCACTTAAGTTCAATTAATCGTATTCTAAAGAATATCTTAACTAAAATGTTATTCTCAATAATATTTTAAAAAAAATGTGTTTAATTAATTGCATCCTAATATTTCTTGAAATATCTTTAAATAAAAATAATAAAAAATATATATTAAATTATAATTTCTGGTATTCTCATTCTCTCAAATATGAGAATAAAAATGTAGAAAAATATATAATAATTATTTGAAAAATGAACAATAGTTGAAAATGATTTTCAAAACCCGTGAAACAAACTTTCTTCTTTTTTACGAATGTAAACTCATAATTATATTAATTGAAATTTTCCCATTTGATATTGCCTTTCGTGCTAAAACACTCTCAACATACATGATACTACAAAGTAATACTCCTATGATTGCACCCACATAATTAATCCGTTGAACTTATATAAGTATTTGAGTTCCATTGTTACCAGAAAAAAAAAGAAGAAAAAAAACCTTGAATCAAACATTACTTCTTCCCAACTAAATTAGCAACTAAATTAGAATCTTGATGCGAAATAAAAAAAAAAACTCAGTCTTTCTTCGTCGTTTATTAAATCTCTATTCAATTTGAGCATGAAAACCAAACCACAAAATTAGAAGATGAAGATGAAAACTCATTTATTATTATGATGATGATGACTATAACATATACAAAAACTAGATAGATAGGTTGAAAGGCAGTGACCCCTGATCCTAGGAGGAGGAGTGAGTCTCAGAAAAAGAAAAGAAGAAATCTACTTGCACCAGGGGAATTTACAAAGCGTGCTCTGTTTGGCTCCTTCCTCTGCCACCACGAGTAGACTTTATTCACAAAGAGAAAGAGAAAGGGGCAAAATTAGGCACAGTAGAGTTGCAGCTTAGGTCATGTCTCTCCCACACTCAAGATCCAAGGGTGGCCTACAAGGAAAAACCATAATTTATCAACACACGCTTCTTATATAAGAGAGAAGAGCAAAGCAAGTAAGGGAACATACGGAGGGCTTGTTCCGCCGAGAACCTTCTGGAAGCATCCCTAGAGATCATTTTCCTCAAGAGATCCTTGGCAGAGGAAGAAACGTTCCGGAAGATTCTAGAAGGAAACCTAAGATTACCCCTAACAACAGCCTCAAAGATCTCCACAGCAGAGTCACCATAAAAAGGAGGAATCCCCGCCAACATTATATACATAATCACACCGCAACTCCACACATCCACCTTCTCGTCGTACTCCCTCCCCAACAGAACCTCCGGCGCCACGTAGTACGGCGTCCCCACCACGCCGCCCATGCTCCTCCCGTCGCCGAACCACTCCGCCGACCCGAAGTCCGCCAGCTTCAGATTCCCCGCCGCGTCGAACAAAACATTGTCCGGCTTTATGTCGCGGTGGGCCACGCCGAGGCGGTGGCAGTGCGCCACCCCTTCCAGAAGGCTCTTCATGATGACGGCGGCCTCGGCCTCCGGGACGGGGTTGTCGACGATGCGGTCGAAGAGCGTGTGGGGCTGGCAGAGGTCCATGACGATGGAGAGAGAATCTTGGTCTTCGAAGACATGGTAGATTTGGAGGATGTTGGGGTGCGGAGAGAGCAGAGTCATGAATTTGGGTTCGTTTTGGAGGCAGTCGCGGTCGGTGGAGTCTTGGAGGTGGGACTTGACGATGTGTTTGCAGGCGAAGGGTTGGTTGGTGAGAGGGTGGAAGCACCGGAAGATGGTGCCGAAACGACCGCCACCGATCTCCTCGCACAGCTCGTAGTGGCTTTTTAGGGCTTCGCACATTCTTTTGTGTTTAGGGTTTTTAGGACTCTCGTTGCTCTCTTTTTATAGAACAAAAGGGGAGTCACAGAGAAATTGGAATATTCGTTGGGTAGATACTCTTCTTCTTTCTCTCGTCACTCATCACTCACCACGTTTCACGCTATGGAGGGGGCGCCATGCACCACTTATCACCAAACCACACCTTCCCCTTTTACCCTAAATATTACTTCTTCTCACACTCTTTTCTAACTTACTTAACACTCTTCAATTTATTATTAACTTCAATTATTTTTTAAAAATTAATCTTCAGATCTCTTAAATTAATTAACATTTAAAATAGAGATATTTATATATTTATTATCTTCTTCAAATATAATAAAAGATATAAATTAAACATTTATTACTTTTTTTTATAAAAAAAAATTGTTAATTAAATATAAATATTTTATAAAGATAAAAAAAAAACTTCAATTAGCCGTTAAAACCAATCAAATTCGTTTCTTCTTCTCCAAGTTGAATCTCTTTTTATATATAAAGATTTTTTTTTTCTTTAGTTGTTTTCTAACTGATTATTCTAATACTTTAACAAAAGGAGGATTCTTTTTTTATGCCTTTTTCTTTGTAGCTGAACATCAGGAGAAGAAGGATCGGAATAAGCAAAGGTTATCCTTAGAATATACCTATAAAACCAAACAACGTAATTTCTTTAATGATCCCAAATTCGCAATACGTTTTTTATTGCCTAGAATAGCACATATATTCTATAAAGCCAACCACGTTCTTAAGTTGGGTAATGTAACAACTGAGTTCACCTTTATAGAGTTTGATTCCAAGCTGACAACCTAACTTCTCACACTAGATACCACATCATATCATTCCACCCTCCAAATGTACATTACCATCTTATTCTGTAAGATATTATCAACATATTTTTTAAAATATTTCCCCAACATAAATTAGTGTTAAATTATATATGGATCTGTTTGTTAATATTTTATTATGAAATGCATTATTAAAAATATCTGTGTATATGCACTGATAGTGCCTCAGTGCATTTTTTTTACATTACTATCAAATTACTATGGTAAGTTTTTTTTTTTTTTTACTATACTAATAATCACCTCAGAAGTACATTAAGACTAATTTCTAAATGGTTAGCAGGAAGAAATCTTTCATATTAATAATGTATATCCATTAAACTTTTAAGTATGATTTTAATGATTGTAAACAGGCATAAATCAACTTTTGTTTTTTTAATACATAAAATAATTACTTGATTAATTTGCCTCAGAATCACTTTATGTTAATATGTAACAGATTTAAAATTACTTATTATGGGTTTGTTTGATTTCTATTTTCAAAATTTATTTATAGTTTTCAAAATGAAATTAAACAAAGTTGCTCAAATAGATGACGAAGGTAGTGCAAGGCACATAGCACAACGTGAAAATTGGGAGATTGAACCAAATGAAAACATATCCCAGTTATTTATTTTTCCTTTTTTATTTAAAACATTTATTTTAGAAATAATTTAAAAAATTTAATAGTGAGAGATTGATTGTGTAAGACCACAAACCTCCTTCCCTTTCTTTTTCCAATTTCCTTCTTCCAAATCTCATTCATTTTCTTATTGATTCTCAAGATTGCCGAGCAATTGGTGTGCTAGGGAGCTTTGAAGTTGAGAGTCGGATTCCTGTTCCATTTTTCTTCTTCAATTCTTCAATCTTGGAATAGCTCAGAGTTCGTCATTCACTCCGTTCCGAGGTAAGGGAAGCTGGGATTTGGGGTTTTAGGTTGAAAACGTGGGGCTAGTGAATGGATTGAAGATTTATGTTTGATAAATTGAGGAAATATGCAATTGTAGGGTTTGATTCATGGGATCTTATGTTGAAATTGGAGTTTTTGGTTGTTCTTGATGTAAGATTTAAATGTCATGATTTCCTTGAGTTGTTGTGAATGCATGTTGTTTTTCTTATGAATTCTGAGCTGTATGTTGTTGGGGTTGAAGGATTTTGGGGTTGCATGTTTTGATCATTGCATGGATTGAGAGGAATTAGAGATGTAGTCGTTCATTTGTTGGTATGAATTTCTAAATTTAGGACGCTAAGCATAGGTTTTCACACTTAGTGTGACAATTTTGAAATGCTACTGGAATTCTGAGGCTAAGCGTGGGATTTTACACTTAGCGTGAGAGAGAGATGTGCCTCTGGAAGGCTGACACTGAGCATGGAATTTTGTGCTTAGCGTGAGAGCTGAGTTATGCCTCTAGAAGGCTAAGGTTGAGCGTAAGTTTTTGCGCTGAGCGTGGGGACTTAGTTTAATAAATTTCTTTTTTGAATGAATTGGTTGTTTGCTTGATGAATGACTTGTATGTCTAAAACTTGTTGTTTGAGTTGTATTATCGTTAAATGATGAAGAATAAGTTGTAGAGATGTTGTATGATAGGGAACTTTAGGTGTTGAATGCTGATGAGTTATATTTTGATAATTGTGTTGTGAAGTTGTATAGTTATATTGGGATATTCTATGAACAATGTTGATATGTCATTGAGATGTATGATGAATAGAAAGTCAAATATGAGTAGTGATGATTGAGTTGTGAGACGTTGAGATGCATGTTGAGCATAGTGTTGTAAACTAGTTGTGAAGTTGAGTAGTTGAGTAGAGATGATATGAGTTGAAGAGTTGTGTTAACTGAGTTGTTGTGTTGTTATTTTGAGTTGTTGAGCTGAATTGTACTGTTGAGTTGTGTGTTGATTGAACTGTGATGATGAGTTGTTGATCACTAAAACTAGGGTAGATGTTTTCGAAGTTGTTCATCTCATTATGCGGATTGAGATAGTTGTGGTACTCTAAGAGACTAATTTGTTGGAAAATCCTCCTCGAAAAGTTGTCCCTTGGAGTAGATGTTGTGTTGTTTTCTTCTAGGACTTAGTTAATCTCATGTGTGGGCAAGGTCGAGACACACGTGTATGAAGCGACTATGGTATAAGGGCTAGGTCAAGCTATACCGATTACAAGCGGCCAATTCAAGTAAAGTACGAAGTTGGGAACTTAGTTCCTAACAGAGTATCGAAGGGTTGTAGTATTTGGAGGATAGTCAATAGGTTTATCCCATAAGTGGCTTAATTGAGCTAGTTAATGTCGTGGTAGGTCTAAACCTAGCTGTCCTATCTTAACATAGTACTATACTTCTTTGTTTAAGTGGCAAAGTCTGAGAAACTATTATCTCGTTGTAGATTGTTATCCAAATTTGTTGTTTACCTAGCAAGTCCAAAAAAGTTATGTATTATCAGTTCGGTAGGACCTAGCCACTTAGACTGCTCACCTTGTATTATAGGAGATTTCCGAGATAAAATGCATGACAACACATATATGTTTATGTGTTGATACAATGTTGATATGTGTTGTATTGTTGAAGTGTTGTATTATTGAAGTGTTGTATTATTGAAGTGTTGTTAAGATGTGTAGTACATGTGTTGTTTGTTGCTTGTGTTGGATGTGAAAATGAATTTATGTGTTGATGTGTTACATACTTAATTATAGGAGTTGTTTATTTTACCTAGCTTACCCTTGCATGTTTCCATATGATTTGGACTGCAATGATAATACGTTGTATTGGAGCAACGCAAGGATAGGTTGGAGAGTAGCAGTGGTACTCACAGGTGGTGCCTGAAGTTGGATTTTATTTTGTAGACTATCGATTGTTGGTAGATACTTTTGTATAGATATTTGTATTTAATTGCTGGACAAACAACATAGTTGTACATAATCATGAGATGTAGATGTGCTTATATTATATTATTATTTCAGTATATGTATATGCGTGATTAATTGTATGTTACCCAATGCGATAGCCATGATACATCATTACAAATTACTGAATAATGTGAAATTATTTTAGAAAACAAGTTTCAAAATTAGAAAAGCAAAAAAGAAATTAAATCATTCAAGTATGAGATGCAGTCTAATAATAAAAAGATACATTAAAAAGAATACATTAATATTAGTAACATTTGAAAATAGTAACATTTGAAAATTTTATAGTGAACCTAACTAAAAAAGGGGGAATGAAGTTCTCTCGAATCTATAAACTCGAACAATCAAAACGTCCACGAAATTTCAATTTCAAAATTTAAAATGTACGTAGGATATTTTTTTTAAATTAAACAAGTTGAGGATTGGTGGGGCACTCGGTTAGAGTTATCTTCACCATAGCAATTTATTTTTGCCTAAATCCAAGAACTGGATCCCTTTCTTTGAGGTCCATTTTCTCTCAAGTTATTTGAGCAATGCACTTTCTTTTAGTAAACTAAACAAAAGTTATTCACGTTGGGGTCCAGCGTAAATCATGATAAGGATATGGACCAAAACTTTTCCAGATATGAAGCCATTAAGAAAAGAGCACCTTATAAAAGGTTAGAATTATTTCTTTTTCTTATGACAGGCACCGTATGAATTGCCGGACAGTGCAAGGTACAAGCTAGGACAATCACTTCAGATATTCGAGAGAAGAATACTGTTTCGCAACACGTTGCATGCCTTTATGCCAGACAGTCCAATTTTCCTCTTTCTACGAATACAATTAAGTCTATGGTTAAATTGAACTGTTTTCGAACCAAAATGTCCACCCTCTCACACCACGCGGGTTAAGTGAAAAGGGCTACATTTGAACTTAGAATTAGGCGTTAAATTTGGCTCCTTTTACTAAATTAGTATTTTAATCTATAATTTTCAATTTATGGGTGTAACCAGATGCACTTATATAAGTGGAATTTTTTTACACAACGAGTCAATAAAGCCTGCACCTACCCATTCAAATTATTGATAGGTTATAAAGACTTTGCCCAAATACTGACTCTAAATAGTCTCAATAAAACCACAAACAGATCAATTGATCAATCCTCAACCCATCAAGTGATCTTAATAAAATTACCGAGATACTGATTTCTTAGTACATGTCTGGATTCACGTTTCCAATTCACGTTTTAACTGATTTGACGCAAAAGTAAAAAATTATAACGTCTTATTTTCATGTCGTTTACGTGAGTCAAGCCCGGAAAACGTGAAACCAAACACACTGTTAGGCTACATTCATTTTTATAAGTCAAACTCAGTTTACACTTTACATGACGCCCAAGAGAGTTTTCTCAAAGCAATTTATTTTTCGCTGCAGCCTAAACTCCATTTGGATTTAGTGTTAAGTTAGAAAACAATGGCGATGGAGATCAGTAAACATTTCTTTAAGAAAAATACCAGACTAAAGTTGGACTGATTAAAAAGAAATACGTGCAATGTTCAAAGTGTTGATGGAAAATAGTACTAGCTATACCCCCTTCAGCCCGCTGCCCTCCAAAAAAAGTCATTAAATAGTATTTATGCGCAAGTGTTAATATAAGCCTGCATATATCTTGAAAGATGAATCTAATTGTCAAGGGAAAAAAAAAACGACATTATTATGTGTCTTGCATGACTCTTTAAATTCTTCAATTCCTAACCAAATAAATTTCAGTGAAAGACAGCAACCAGATGCAGATATGATGAAACAAACGTACTCTTCGACATATCTGTGGGGCAAAAGGGAGTCGATCATTGAAGCAAACTACTAAAAGATCCAAAGGCGAGAAAATCTTGCTATTTATGTTCCTTAACTTGGGTGCCCCCAAATAACATACTCACTGATGTCAATATAATTCAACCGGGCTAATCACTTCTCAGAAAACGTCCTCACTTTGCATGGATAGCGGTACAAGGCAACAAAACTTCCACGATAATGGCCCCAAATCTGAATGTTGTTGCAACTTGCAAATTAAAAACACGTTTTCTTAGTTTGGAAATTCCCACTTTTTGAAGCAAAGTTGGCACGATCTCACTTAAAAGCTGATCCTGAGTCCAGTGTCTCTGAATCATGGCCAGTCCATCAGTTATGTACGGGGCATTACTTTCTTTTCATCCCTGTACTAATATATATAATGCCCAAAATAAGAATTTAAAAAATGAACCAAAGGAGGGAATAATGGGAATTCACACTGTAGAACAAGACATCAACTTTCAGAATTCGTCTTTCAAGCAACATATATCAAACTTTGTAGCATGCTCAGAAAGTCTCATTTCAAAAACACTTACCTAAAATATCTTTAAAAGGGAGCCTCCAGTGATTCATCCCAGACTTCTGCACTTCCGTTAGAGGCATCTTCTACGTCTTCTTCCATTGAAAGCCTGATATATTCTCTATGAGCAAATCGATCCCATTCTGTCAATGTTGGATTCTCACGTTCCTATTCACACAATACATGCATACAAATTACCAAGGAAGTCACTAACAGTAGCCAAGCATATTACTAACTCGACAATGCAATAAATTTTATCATGCACCTGACGGATCAAAAATGGGTCACGAGTTTCAAAGGCCATGAACTTATTTAGATTGAACAGGATGTTGAAAACACTTCCTGAAAGTTTACCGCCTTTCAGGTCACGCAGAGTTATAAAGCTCTCATCCTGCAGAGCAAAAAGAATTTCAATTAATTACAAAATTAGATAATTAATCAGTAATGACATGATACTGACCAAAGATACAGAGGATAATAAAAAGGGGGACAAAATATGTTTGGGATATACTAAATTCCTAGAAGAAAAAAAATCTATAAACTGCTCTTTAGACCTGCTCTCACTTTTCCGGGAAATGTTACTTCACAACACAATGAAAGAAAGATGGAAAGCAAACCTCAGGTTTAATCATGTCAATTATCTGACACAATATGTCCTCAAAAAGCACAGGCTCTTGGGCCATGCACTCCATCCGATGCAATTGCTCTTCATAAAAAAATTGCAGTTCATTCCTTGTCAGAACTCCATTTCCATCCAAATCTATACACTTGAACCTAATAATAGACATCCTCAAGTTAGCTCATTCGTTGATTACTTAAAAAATCAGAAAAAGTCAACCACAATGTCAAATATTCACTCTTTATCAAATAGCATGCATTCTGGTGAAGTAAAACAATGCAGAGGAAGTGACAACGTAATCCGTTTCATTTCACTCTTTCACACTAGAAAAGATGGAAAGTATTCCAACTCTGAGATTGAAAAACACGCAGGCAGAAAGTGAACAGGTTCATCTCATTATCAATTTTCCTTCATTTTTCCACACAATGTGGCCTATATTTTCAATAGTCCAGTTACCCCTGTCCTATTTCTGATGCATCAAACATCCTTCAGTAACTTTAGTATTATCAAAACATGTTATTGACACTGCACTTTATAAGCATAGAATGCAGTTACACAAAAACTTACAAAATCATATCTATGCTCTCGTGGGCAAGTATTACTTGGCACAGAGAACTGGGATCAAGATTATTTCAATTAGACGTGTTCTCTTTTGCAAGTTGCCTTTGATTACGTACATAACATTCCAGACTTCCAGTAACAGATAAATAAATTAATAAACTAACAGATAAAGTTTCATAATCATGAACTCAAGCACATGCATTTGCACGATTCAAAATCCAATTAAATAAAACAACACTTTAACATGCCTAATTTTGCAAAGCACCAATCTGATAACTCCTCTCAGAAAAAGAAACTAACAGATGAAAATGAAATGGATAATGAATGAGAAATAAATACCAATACTCAAGACTTGGTTCAGATGATTTATCCTCTTCTGAAAGTATGAAGTAAACAAAATCTTCATATCCCATCTTTCCCTCAACCTTACTGGTAAACTTTCTTGGGATCTGGAGATATAATATTGAACCAAGTCAACATTTACACCTTCAATAAATGATCAGATAAACAAAAGTGAATGGGCACTGAACCAAACACTTCTTGAGTTAAAAAGAGAGGAGGTGTAGGGTCCTTTGCTGAAGTGAGAAACAGTTAAATCTCAAAGACAGAAGCAATAGGTAATCCACACAAACCTGAGAAAATATTCTGTCAACAATTCGATACGTAAGTGCATGGTTACCATATCTGATAAGATTCTCTTTGTCTATCAAGAAATCATGATCTGAATCCAGCTCCCAAAACTTGCAGTATATAACATAAAAATGCTCGTAAGAGAAGTACCTACAAACAATTAATAGGTAAAGTAAAATCAGTCAATGTATTTTGGTATGAATACATTTTTGCTGAAAATCAGAGTGATTGTGTGAAGTCAAAGATAATGATGGTAATATCTACCTCAAAACCTTGTTTATATCTTCTTCTTCATCAGCATGCTGCATTGCATCAATTATGTTTCCACGCTTAAGCTCCCTCAGGGTGAGACGACCATTTCCAGATCTATTAATGTAATAATAGATCCTGTATATTACAGTTTCAGCTGGGACATTGAAAAACAAATTAAGAATATTGCACCCGATACAAAAAAGAAAGTATTACACTAGAAACCAAGACCAGTTGAAACCAAACTAGCATAGATTTCAAGTTTCTACAATCAACTTTAGGAAGCACTTGGAAAAGCTTTTACAGAATTTATTTGGAGTTATGAAAACGTATAATCCCTACAAACTACTTTTAGCTCATTCCAAGAAGTTTTATGGTCAAATTTACGATATAAGCTATCATGTGATAATATCTCATTAAATAAACGTTCAAATTTAATTAACCTATTAACCAAAAACACCTGTTAAAATTAGTGGGAAGAATTTAGAGAGAAAGAGAGAACTTAGAGAATGAAAAACATTCTTATTCAGTAGCATATGTAGGTCATAGGTTCTACGCCACATCATCCATATATAGTCTCTTAATAGACTTAGCAGGGACTATTTCCTGGACTACCATTAATTAAGTGCAACTCTAGACACTAATACCCATGAACATTAAATGCATATAAATATAAGATACAAAAATATAATATTTCCTAATTAGATCAAATACCATTATTTCCAACACTCCCTCAATAATAATCCATTGATTATTAGTTATTACTATAAGCATCTGTGCAGCTGCAGCCAATGCCTACCTCTTTCAATTGGTGAAATAGCTAGTTATTTGGGTATCATGAAAGCACTGAATAGAGTATGAAATATAAGAATGTTCTTTCTGCAAAGAAACTCTAAACACATTGCTTTAGCCCATAGGACCCCCCCACAACAAAGTTCATTTTTTTTTTCCAACCAGATCTATAACAAAGAGATGTACCTACAAATCCAATATCATCATTGTTTTTATTTTGAATCACTGAAACAAGATGCCAGAAAAAATTAAGAAATGTTCCCATTTTAGTACCATTTATGCCTTTATCTTAAACACAGTTTCTTTCTACTACATATAAATTTATGCTTCATATACATGTTCTTACTCTGTTGATCCCTACATATTTTAATGTCAGCAGCTATCCATAGAATTAACTTTGTATCTATTATCAGGAACTCAGAATGTATCACATAGATACAAACTCAAGTCACAAATGGACCACGAGTGAGTACATCTCATGGAAATTGATGATTAGTATGTGAAACAAAAATTCCTCATTAAAAATAGTTTTAAGGAACTATGTAGTAGAAGAATTTAAGCTCATTTGCATCAATCTACAATTACAAACCGTATCTCTCTTGAAACTCAGGCGTGCTCTGCAGGAACTCCAGCCCTGGATGAGTTGCTAAAAGCTCACGTAGCACTGGTTTAAAATCATCCTGACATGTAGTATAGTGTTGTTCTAGTATAAGACAGATATATATATGAACATAATATGACAAGCAAGGAGAATTCTAAAAAAGATATATCATACTAGAATGAAACTGGAATTGAATAAATGACATTTTGATAAATATTAGGCCAAGACTGCATGTACCTTTTGGAAGAGTAGAAGGAATTTAAATAAAATGAAAAGCAGAAATAAAGAAATGGAATTAAAAAAGAACCTGAGTAAGGTAATTCAGCTGTGGTTGCTTTAATATCTTGAATATTACAGTAGCTATATCCATCGTCAACATGTTGCCATTAATCCAATATTCAATAAATGTTTTCCTATAGGAACATTAAATCATAAATTTAAGCATAAATATACAGAAATAATATTTACAAGGGAAAACCATTCATCAAGAATTGCCTACATCATGGGAAAGGAGAGAACCAAATTAACAATATTAACCTCTTTTAATAATATAAAAAATTCATACAATATTCAACCAGAGTAACATATGGTGCTAACTGCTAAAAATGGAAAGTTATATTCAGAAAAGGTAAAAGGATTTGCAATTAAGTATTGGTAAAATTTTAGCAGTATGCCCAGAAACTTATTGCCCAACTAAAATGTCAGTTTAGTAATTTACCAAAGAGAATTCTCAGAGAATGCCCATCCATAACAATAGGCACCTCTCAGCCAAACAACAAAAATAAAAGTCTTATCTCACAAATTGTGGACAGTTACATGGATCACACAATGTCATTGTGCTTGATTAAAGACCAATTCTCAGGGATATTATTTACCATGAGATAACTCTTAACAATTTCCTACAATATCCTTCTTAGCCTCCTCTCTCCTTTTCACAAAGCAAAAAACATACAATTTACTCTCTTCAGTGGTTTCTAGTGGGCCTTCATACATGTCCAAACCACCTTAATTAATTTAAGGTCATCTTTTCTCAATTAGTGTCACACAAATGTCTTCTCATATACAATCATTTTGTATCTTATTATTTTCTTGTGAAGCGACATATCTATCTTAACATTCTCATTTATAATATACAAACCTTTTTCTCATGTGCCTTTATAGCCCAACATTTAGTTATATTGGTCGCATATATCTAAACTTAAAATTTTGTGGTATGACATCTTCTCCCATTATTACTTCCTCTTCATTTTCCTCTTATCTCTTGCAAAAATTGCAATACTTACACATACTTTGTCTTACTCTTATACAAGTAAAAACCCTTTGAATCCAAAATTTGTCTACAACGCTCAACTTTATAGTCAATCTCTTCCCTTGATTTGTCAATCAAAAGTCAAAACACTATATCATCTGCAAAAAGCATGCAGTTCAATAAAATCTTTTGCCAATCCTTGGTAAGCACATTGAAGACTAGATTAAACAAGAACTAAAGACTAAGCCCAGAAGTAATCCTATCCTCTTTTTTTATATGGCATATTATGGGCTGCTTCTTCCTTCACTTAGCCACTCCTCTTTAATGTTCGGCTCCCCCTCCTTTGAGCCTTGGACAGTTCAGTGACAGATATTGTATTATAAACATTGGTGCAAAGAATAAAAAACCTCTCGCAGTTAAACAGAAGATTTAGAAACTAATGTATATAATGTCGGCTTGAAAACTAAACTAAATATCAAAAATGAAATCAAGCAGCATAAAAAATAATGAAGAATTGAGGAACTCATTGGCCTAAGACAACCTTCAAGTGATGAAGGAGATTTCATCAAGCAACCAAGCATAACAAACATCATGCTGGTAACTATTTCAAACACAAACCAGGTTGTATATTGAAAAAATTTAAAAAGAAATGGTAGAACAAAGTAGAGGGAATGGATAATGTTAATGTAGATAACAAGGCAAGTAAAGAGTCAAACTTCAAAACATGCATTTACAAAAATAAATAATGCAATAATAATAAGGAGCTCAGCTGTGAAAAATCTTTCTGAATTACTTATGATAATTGTAATGCTACTCCAGCACCTAGACCTAAAACTTTGAAATGCCCAACAGCTCAAAAAAACAAATCACCATCCATGACAAACAAAATTTAACAAGGTCTAGAAAAATAAGTTACACACCTTGTCACAACACCAGTTCCATTGTCAATCTTTCGGAACAGAGAAGTGGAAAAAAAAGATGGCAGCTTGCAAACTTCCTTAGTAATTGATTTGAATTCTGACATTCAAAGAAAAACAAGTAAAATGATTCTCAGAACTGGCTATTAAAACTCCTTATTATATTGGAAAGTGAATTTTATATAGATCATCACTTTATGATTTCTGGCAATATTTAGTTATTTTTACTCAACTAAAAGAGTGTCTGATTACTTTGAAATTGAAACTAGAACATGAAACTTATTTAAATCACTTTTCCCCAGTTGCAACAAAATGGCCCTTCAGGTTATCAGCTACTTATATATGAGAATGTGATATCTCACCATGCACCTGCAGGCCATCCAAATGTTCATGGAATAGCCGATCAATTTTATACAAGCATTGTTCTTTCAGTTCATTTGGAGGTGGACGTCCATGTTGAAAGTAAAACTGCAAGTGATCAAATATATATGTTATAAACCTTAACATGGCAGTAATCAAGAGAGAGAAAAATAAAAGATAAACACACAAAGTGATCAAATAAAATACTAAGAGAACTCGACAGCAGTTCTTAATAAAATTGATATAAATTATTTTCTGCAAGTTCATGGGGGTTCAAGGAGAGGCATTGGGTGCGTACTTCTACTTTGGAACAGGTTCTTATGATCAAGTAACAAACTTAAGCAAAGCAACAAGGTAAAATTTTTGCATCAATCTGCAGTTCGGCCAATTCTTTGGAACATATGGTTGTGGTGTAAAGTCACATATTTAAGGGTGTCTCTCTGTCCCTCAACTTGCTATAGGTTTATGGGATAGTATGGTGTATGCCCTTTCTTTGGTATTCTGTAAATGGCTGTCCCGAGAAAAGTTGGCATTTACAATACACAATGGGATTGGGCAACTTAGCTGAATTTTTTTCTTCTTCTCTTACGTATTTTCTTTTTCTGCTTTGAAGAATATCTTATCCCGATATCCTCCTTTTGTATATACATATTAGTAATTAAAAAATAAATAAAAGGAATATTAGACTCTTGAACCTGAGGTATCACTTCTTTAACTGGCTCACTGACAACTTTCAAAGGAGAACCCAAATTAGATGGGCCAACTCTATGTTTCACAATGCGAGGGGAACCAGATGAACTTCTTGGTGAAAGAGGAGGAGCAGTGCCAGCAGGAAACATGGAAGGCAAAGAATTACTTGCACCATTTGGACTGGAGCAATTCCCGGGGACATTCAAGGGCACACCTGACTTTGCTTCATTGAGTAATGATGTTACCTGCACAATTAACAAGGGAGATATTAAATCAATATCACCAGCTTTGCACATGATATTTTATATAGCATTCAAGGAGAAAAACTTAACCGTTTCATGAAACCCAAAAGACTAAAATACAACAGGTATAGCACTATCAACCACCATTTCATATATTGCTTGGGACTAACTAGGAATTACAAAAAATCGGCAATGATGATTCCCCGGAATTCAAAGAGATAGAGCTGTAACAGATGAAGTTGATTCTACTTTCTACTGAAAAGTCATAATTCTCACAAATGTGTGGAATGCTATAAAAACCTGTAGTAATCTTTAATTACGATTTTTTTAATCTAAAACGACAACAGCATTCCCTATCGGCAACAATACAACGTAATGTAAGAACAATGCATTTTTCCCCCAAACAAATAATTAGCTAAATAATCATTGGCTGATAACCACAGATACTATATCACCCCCAATGATTTCAAAAATCACTTCATTCTTCGTGCATAAGGAAAAGAGAAACGAACGAAGAGAACAAAAGCAAGCTAAGGAAACTCCTAAAATTACGCAATGTAGCAATGTGCAAATTCCGAAATGGAATGAAACCTACCAATCGATTAGTTTCGGGAAGCGACAACCACTGGTCGAAGAGCTTCTCAACGAAATTGTGGTTAGACTTGAGGGCCAAACCGGAAAATTCTGGGAGCTGCAATAATTCGACGTCCAACGACGCCACATCAGTGACGACATCCATGTTCATCTAAACCAATCACTGAGCGCGGAAATCAACACGAATCCTCAATTTGATTTTTTTTCTTCTTATTTTTGCTGCAAGCTGTATTTGAATGCCTCCGAATCGAAAGCTGCAAGAATCAGATGGTATACCGAAAGGAAACAAATGCGGGTGAGATAGAGATTGGGAGCTGCGGATTCAGGCAGAACCCTAGATCTTTCGGCAATTATGGTTTAGAATGAATGAATGAATGAGCAACATGTAATATGTAGGGTGATGGTGATCTGATGAAAGATGTGGAATGGAATGGATAGAAATTAGAAAGCGAAGGAAAATGAGAGAAAATTATTGAGAGAGAATGAAGAAATAATTGTGCAGAAAGAAAAAAAGAAGGAGAAAGTGAGGGAGATTTGTTGCTCCTACTTTTACTTATTTATTTCAAACTATTTCTTTCTTTCTTTTTTTTTTTTTTTTATAGACAAAGGTTAATAATAAGTGTGATATGTTAGGATATTTTAAAAACAGTAACATGAAAAATTACGCCTCTAATGAATAAAATAAATTTATTCATTTTTTAAAATAATTATTATAAGAATTAATAAACTTGTTATGCAAAATATTTTACAATTATATAATATAAATTCGTATTTTTTTATATTCACGGATAAAATTTGTTATAGATAATAAATAAATTAGTCTAAATGTATATTTATGTATAATGAGTTCCATTATTTTTTTTACTCATCAATAAATGAGATAGATATATTTTCATATTTGTGAATATTTGTTTAATAAATTAGTTAATTATTTATATATTTATCTTGTATTTTTAATATTATTTTTAATATTTCAATAAAATTAGTGTTAAATATAAGTTTAAAAATTAATGTCAATTGTTTATATTTAATATCTCAATAAAATTAACATATAAAAACTTATATTTATTTATAATATTTAAAAAATTCACAAATATTTATAAGTATTTGCAGGTATTTATAAAACTTATGAAACAGATTTTTATTCGATGAAATGAGAACAGATAATAAAATATCTTATTATTCATTTTCAAGGAACTCCATTATCATTCTTAATTCATCGCTTAACGAGTATTGATATTGATTGATTTAAGTTAATTATTGGTCTCGAGTTATGTTAAATAATATTTTTTTGTTCTTATAATAAAAACATAATTTTGAAGAAAATGATATTTTTATAGTGTATTTTACAAATTTTATAAAATATTAATTTTTATAAAACATTATTAAAGACTATGAGACATTGAAAATATATTTATTGTTGTTGGGCAGTGAAAAGATAATTTAAAAAACAAATATTTTATTTTATTTCTTAAACTTCCATTGTCATATCAATTAATTTTATTAATATTAATATATTAGATTTAATATAGTCCTATGAACAAATATTTTTATTTCTCATGAAAATTTAATGTTAAATAAAAAAATTAAATTAGAACATTATAATTTTATTTTACAAACATTATAAAATTAACTATCATGCCTTTAATTAATTTGTGTGATTTAGTTAAAATATTTTATAATAAAAATTGAAGGAAGTAATTGAAAAAAAAAATTGTTACTCGTATTAATCCTTATGTAATCTAAAATATAATATATATATATATATATATATATATATAAGGAAGAATCTGTTTATTCTAGGAGTAAGTCTACATAAATTTACTCGGTTAAATAACTCATATTTTACATTAAATTTCAATGATTCAACCGTTGAATTTAAAATTTTTAATACATAGATCTACAAATTTTTAAAAAATTTAAAAATTATTTGATACTTCGTTTCATTAATTCAAATCAAGTTATAAAATGATTTTATTATTATCCATCAATTTGAACTAATGAAACAAAGTATCAAGTTAAATTTTTAAAAAATTTACAGATTTGATCTATGCATTAAGAACTTTAAATTCAACGGTTTGATCGTTGAAATTTGATATAAAACATGAGTTATTGAACAAAGTAAGTTTAGGTAAGTTTACTTTATGAGTAAAGAGATCCCTCCTCGCTCTCTCTCTCTCTCTCTCTCTCTATATATATATATATATATAAAGCATCTATATCATCCATTAGAACCTATTTTGTTTGAATTGAACAAAATATAATTATTATGAATGGTAAAAGTACAATTATTAAACACATGCATACTTAAAACTTCAACTTAATTAATTGATTCTTGTGCTAATTAAATATATAATTTAAATATATTTTATTTATTGAAAACAAAGTCAACACAACTCACACACCTTATGAAAACCAATTAAGTTAAATCTCTTAGTATTTAATATTATAGTTTATCTTTTATATAAAAAAATAAAATTATTTATCTTATCTGATTATGAGAAATATAAAATTATTTTCAAATATATTAATTATAATTTTTTAATATATTCTTATATCTAAGTTTCAATTAGTTAATTATTTCGCATAAAAATAAATACATTAATTAAGTTATCAACAATGTTAGAAAAAAAATTATTTCCACAAAATTGTTCTTTAAATTATAAGTAACCCGCATTAAATACAATAATTAAATAAATCAATTAATTCTATTAGTATTTTAAAATAAAAGTTAAATTATAATATTATTAATTAAAATTAATTAATTTAACTATTTCCATTATTAATAATTAAGTATTCATTTCTTTTATGTATACGGTCAGTGGTAATAATAGATATCACGTTATAGTAATAAAAATATTTTCAAATTATAATATCAGTAAAGAATATTAAAATTTAATTTAATCACATTTATATGAAAAAGTATTTAAAAAAAATAGACAGGTCAACCAATTAAAGTTGACACGTGTTTGTCGTATGAAAAATACGGCTTTCCAATCCAAGTAGTCCATCCATGCTGGATTATACCATGATCTTAGGTGAAGACGTGAAGTCCCATCCTTCCCCTTTTCTTTATCTTAGTTTTTGTACCAAAAATAATGATATGTACTTTTTTACGTTATTATTTAATATAAGAGATTGTTATGTAGTATAAATGTGAAATTTTTACGAAAATAATATTTTTTAAAAGAAAAATTACAAAAATGATACCTGTGCAACTTTATTTACAGGAATAGACCTGTTTATTGTTCATGCTTGGAATTCGGTTTCCCAGGAACCGAATTCTGAGTTTCAAACTTTTTTTTTTCTTCTTAGAATTTGGTTCCCGGGGAACCGAATTCCGAGTTATTTTAATTTTTTCTTTTTTTCGTGTTTCTGGCCCATTTTGGGCAAATGTTGGAAGTGGAACGGCCCGTTCCGGAAGCAGAACGGGTCGTTCTGCTTAAAGACACAGAGTTTTTTTTTTAAATTAAAACGGGTCAAGAACGGCCCGTTCCAGAATAGAAATTTTAACATTTTTTTGAATCTGGAACGGCCTTAGAACGGCCCGTTCCGGAAGACGTTTTCGGGAAGTAGAACGTGGTTTGGAACGGGCCGTTCTGGTTTTGAAACGGACCGTTCTGGGCAAATAGTTAAAATGCTACAATTTAATCCTATAATTACTCTTATTTCTTCCTTTTCAAAACTTTTAGTATTTTAGTCTTTAATTTTTATTCCAAAGTAATTAATGTTTTATAAATTCAAATCTCAATAATTTCAAGTCGCAAAATAATTTCAAGTCGCAAAATATAGTATAAATATTAATTGAGATTATTTTAAATTATGCTTGACGGACGAGAAATTTTTCTATCAAAGAGAACACTTGGACGGTGAAGTGTGATAATTTGACCCTTAATTTTTTAAATTTAATTTATAACAAAATATATTATTTTAATAAAATTGATTGAATAGTTAAAATTTTATCCGATAATTATATTGTTGGAGAGAATATATTCCCTATAGTTCAGGGATAATTGTACGTTTTAAGCGTAAGATATTATCTTAAGTGGTTGTCTAAATATATTATTTATAACTGATATTAAATGTTTCTTAACTTCTAAGCATTAATATTAAATATTATTTCACTCATCTTAAACTTTTGGCCATTTTAACATTCTTTTATTTATAAAGAAATATCATTAGAATTTTACAGTCTAATTAATATCTTTTTACTCAATTATACTCCTATTTAATAAGCATTTTGTTCATCAACTATTCACGTTTTTTTTACAAAAAAAAAAAGATAATAAAGTTAAAATAATGGGATATTAAGCAATAAATTTTTAGTCCTCACTCACATTCATTAGATATTTCTTGATCCAAGTGAATTAACCTTAAAGGATTAAATTTGGGATGGAGTTATAGTTTTGAATTCTGATAGTAAATTTTAATTTTTAGTGTATTGTTAACATAAAAATTATAATAATATCAATTAATCAGGATTCGTGAAATATACAAGATAATTATTATGAATAGAATTTGTAAAAATAAAATAAAATACTTCTTTCACTGTTTGCCTAGAACGGGCCGTTCCAAAACCAGAACGGCCCGTTCCAAAACACGTTCTACTTCCTGAAACGTCTTCCGGAACGGGCCGTTCCAGATTCAAAAAATGTCAAAATTTCTATTCTGGAACGGGCCGTTCTTGGCCTGTTTTAATTTAAAAAAAAAGACTCTGTGTCTTTAAGCAGAAAGACTCGTTCTGCTTCCGGAACGGGCCGTTCCACTTCTAACATTTGCCCAAAATGGGCCAGAAACACGAAAAAAAGAAAAAAAAATTAAAATAACTCGGAATTCGGTTCCCCGGGAACTGAATTCTGAGAAGAAAAAAAAAGTTTGAAGCTCAGAATTCAGTACCCGGGAAACCGAATTTCGAGCATGAACAGTAAACAGGTCTATTCCTGTAAATAAAGTTGCATAGGTATCATTTTTGTAATTTTTCTTTAAAAAAATATTATTTCCGTAAAAATTTCGTATAAATATATAATAACATTTTTTATTATGTAATAATTATTTTAAAAATCTATTTATGATAATTTTCTTTCAGTTAGTGGACTAAAGATATCTACACTAACAATTCATGAAAATTAAATTCGTGTTTGTTTGAATGAATGTTGTTCTGTATCGATGTCAAGCTAATAAAAATGTTCAATCATTAATCCCAATATTTAAAGAACATCTTATACGTGCACCACAGTTACTGGCACTATGAAATTACATCTTAGTATTCATATTTTGAAAAACCATGATTAAACCTATATCTTTCCGTATCTAAAGAGGTATTGACTTTGATTAACATGTGCCTAACTCTCGCCCAATATTGGAAGTATTATCTCTTCAAGTATGTTATTTATTCATTATCTTCTTTGAGCATTTACACTTTTCATTAAATACATACATATTTAATTACCTGAGCTTATAATGCTGTTAATTTTTTATTTTTTATAGGTTAGTTCATGGAGTATCCACCGACAACAGTGATTAATCTTCTCGTTACCTTGGAGGTACTTTAAAGAGTAGAATAGCTGGTCTCAAGATTTAACGCGATTGCATACACAAGGCAGGATTCGAACCCCTAACCTTGCAAAAAATTTTACATCACCAAATAATTGAAACACTCGACTTATTAAAAGCCTCATGCTATCCACGAACAATAATAAAAAATAATAAGTCTATTTTATCAAAACACGATGCATGAAAAGTAAGGTTGAGAAATAAAAAAGATAGAATAATAATGAATTAGATAAAAATAATAATTTATTTGAATCTATTAACAAGCCTCCTACCTAATTTTTAAGCCAAATGATTGTCTTACTATAAACAATGAGAACCTTTTTTAAATAGATATATGATGCAGATAAAATATATTAGAATTATACTTATACACACACAATATAATTAATAAGACATATATAAACTTTCAAGTGATGACTTTCATTAAAAAAGTAAAACACTTAAAAAAAATTAATTTGTCCATATAGTTCTATCAGTACACGTCTGTACTATCTAGACCATGTTTTTAGTCTATAAATTTATTTTGTTACAATATAGGAGCAATTTTGAAAAATTTTCTAATGAAAACAAAAAGTATTTTTTAATAATTTTTTTAAAAAACTTTTATCTAAACAGACTTTATATATTAAATCATCATAAGCTCAATCAGCAAAGCTTCCTCAAGAAGGATGGAGTTAAATCACTTGCAAACTTGCATTTGTACACCCATACACAGACAATTTTGTGTGATAAAATCTTTTACGACGGGATTATGATAGCGAAATTATATTTCCCAAAACGTAATAAGGATGACAAAAAATTATATACCCATGTTTACTGATTGCTACTAAGATCAAATACCTAGTCATAATCTAACACTCCGTGGGATTCGAGAATCTTCCTATTATGCACCAAGACCAATATAGGTGCAAAACATGAAATCGTCAATAATGAACAATGCAAATCATGAAATTGGTCTTAGAGGTGTCTACACTCTCTCTACACACATCAATACACACAAACACCACCTTGGCTTAAAAAGAGTCTAGTAAGTAAATTTAACACGCTTAAGCAAAAGAATCTGGATTAACACCGCTAAGGATTGCAATACTTTTTTTTAATCATCCTTCCCTCTCTAGACTCTAGTGATGCATTTATTCTACCTTTTAGGCTTGAATAAGCATATATTCACTTACTTTCGGTTTCGTACCAAATTTTGGGCTGTGTGTGGGCCTCGTTTTCCCTTGGGCCAGAGGCCCTTTACGGCTCTCATCGACGAACACATAAAAAGATAAGATAAAAGAAAATAATAATTGAGGTCTCCATTACCTGGCGTTGGATCCCCTGCATCTTCAGGCTTTCCGCATTCCGCATTCATTGAATTCAATCCCTTATCCAATGTTCCGCTGCTACCATTGTCCATGCAACCAACATCATCATCGTCAATGACTACAGTTTCAACCGAATTCCTGTCGCAGACCCTCCCACTTACTTCCAAGCGCGCGTGGCATCCAAACCCCAACACTCTCGTCACCTGCAGAATCCCTCTTCTCAATGAAGACAACCCCAGCAAGCGAAGAAACAACAAGGGTCTCGCTAGGGTCACTTCCTCCGACACAAGGCCTCAAAATTACGACTTTCGAGACACCCATCACATGAAAGCCCTCAACAGGTTGTGCAAACTGGGCAAGTGCACCGAAGCTCTCTATTTTCTTGAGCAAATGGTGAAGAGGGGTTACAAGCCCGACGTAATTCTCTGCACCAAGCTCATCAAGGGCTTGTTCAACTCCAAGAGAACCGAGAAAGCGGTTCGGGTCATGGAGATTCTCGAACACCATGGTGACCCTGATGCTTTTGCCTACAATGCAGTCATCAGCGGCTTCTGCAGAAGCGATAGGTTCGATTCCGCAAATGAAGTGCTTTTAAGAATGAAGAATAGAGGCTTCTCCCCTGATGTTGTTACTTACAACATTCTCATTGGGAGCCTTTGTGCTAGAGGAAAGCTTCACTTGGCACTCAAGGTTATGGATCAGTTGCTGGAAGATAACTGCAACCCCACTGTGATCACCTACACTATCTTGATTGAAGCTACTATTATCCACGGTGGCATCGATGAGGCCATGAAGCTTTTGGATGAGATGATGTCACGAGGGCTTCAACCTGACATGTACACTTACAATGTCATTGTGAGGGGCATGTGCAAACGGGGGTTGGTGGATCGTGCGTTTGAGTTTGTTTGCAATTTGAGCACCACACCAAGTCTGAACCTTTACAACTTGCTGCTGAAGGGTCTTTTGAGTGAGGGAAAATGGGAAGCTGGGGAGAGGTTGATGTCTGATATGATTGTCAAGGGTTGTGAGCCGAATGTTGTGACGTACAGCGTTTTGATTAATTCGCTGTGTCGTGATGGCAAAGTTGGGGAGGCTGTGGATGTGTTGAAGGTAATGAAGGAGAAGGGGTTGAACCCTGATGTTTATTGTTATGATCCGTTGATATCTGCGTTTTGCAAAGAGGGGAGAGTGGATTTGGCTATAGAGTTCGTGGATGATATGATATCTGATGGTTGGTTGCCTGATATTGTCAACTACAACACGATCATGGGTTCTTTGTGTAAGAAGGGAAGAGCTGATGAGGCTTTGAATATCTTCAAGAAGCTTGGTGAAGTGGGTTGTCCTCCAAATGTGAGTTCTTATAACACTATGTTCGGTGCTCTGTGGAGTAGTGGGGACAAAATTAGAGCTTTGAGAATGGTTTTGGAGATGTTGAACAACGGTGTTGATCCTGATAGGATCACCTATAACTCACTCATATCTTGTTTGTGCAGAGATGGGATGGTGGATGAGGCCATTGGGTTGTTGGTGGACATGGAAAGGAGCGACTGGGAACCTACGGTTATTAGTTACAACATTGTTCTTCTTGGGTTGTGCAAAGCGCACAGAATCGTTGATGCCATTGAGGTGCTGGCTGTCATGGTTGACAATGGATGTCAGCCAAATGAAACTACCTACACGTTGTTGGTGGAAGGGATTGGGTTTGCTGGATGGCGAAGTTATGCAGTGGAGCTGGCTAAATCCCTAGTTAGTATGAATGCTATTTCTCAAGATGTATTCAAACGTTTACAGAAGCATAACCTTTTCCGTTCTGTACAGTGAGCTCGCTTTACCAGATCACTCTAAGTTCTTGGGCATAACACTGATTTATTCGGGTCTTCTAATTGGGATTTTTGTTCAGCTCAATTTAATGTTTTATTCGCAAATTTACTGCTTTGGGGGTGAATTTTTAAGGGCAGAAAAATATCAAACGGAGAGAGTCATTACTTCTGATAAAGGTGTTATATTAACACTCATTATCGAATCTCTGTTGTTTCAAGTGTGCAGAGTTTGTACCTAATTGTTATCTGATGACTTATAAAGGAAATTTTGAAATCTGTCAATATTCATACCTTCTGCTAGAATCATATCATATCATTAAGATTTATGCAATAAACATTATGGAGGGTGTATAAACGAAAGAAAAAATATTATATCCTAAATAGCAGTGCAAAAGGGCAGGCGCTTTTAAGAATTAGTATGGTTGACTGAGCAAAAAAATTAAGGAAAAAAAAAAGGATGATTGTTAAGTTGATAATACTCTATTAAAAAAAAAAAAAAGTTGAGACCCCCAATATTGTTTGCACCTTTTTCTTAATGAAATAAATCCTCTTTACATATTCAAGAGGATTCTTAGCCCGATTTCTCTGAACGAAAATAGCATCATTACCTGAACATCTATTTTGTATCAGGAATTCAGGATTGATGAGTTACAAACTGCACAATTCCAATTTGGATCCAATAGCGCAAGTTCGCATCCATGTTTCTTCTGCTCAACCTTCGCACCTTTGAACAAAAATCTTTAGAGCGAAAAGTAAAATAAATAAATAAATAAAAAAAGCTGCCAAGATCAGATGGATGTTCGCAGCAGAATAAAAGATTTCCTTCCCTAAAATTTAGATGGTAAAAACCGCTCATAAAGTGTATTATGACTAGTCAAGAGAAACGAACTTATAACTACCTAAACTAACATAAGGATCAAAACTTACTGTTTATCCTAAACGAGTTAACTAAAACCCACAAACTAGAAGATTAGATTGACATTAAAAATAACTTGACATGAGTACATGTTCATGTCAACTTCAACTACCGAAATTTTAGTTCATGATGAGTGACAGTATTAACCGATACTGTTGAACCTTTAAGTCCCACGGGAGTATCTGTCAAAACTTCCCAATAAGCTTTCCTACATTGGCAAATACCCTGTACCTACAGTAAAATTAACAAGTCTTAGTTAGACAAGCAAGCTACAATGTTACTTCCAGTTTTCAATGAACAAGAGAGCGACCATGATTCATTCCATAAAACTAGCACCGGAAAAAAGCTCTATCATAGTATCATCGAATAACAGTAAGAATATGACAATATAACATTTAGTAAACCTCCACTTTAGCTCCGTGAGATTGTATGCGTCTTTCACTTTAATCCCTGTTTTTACATGTTTAAATTCACTGATGGTTACCCGGTCTTAGGGACTATAGTAGAGGTTTACTAAATAAAAATCTAGTAAAAGCCTTCCTTCTTAATTTAATATTCTGATATAAAAAGGTGAGATGACAGCAGAGAATGAAGTTAAAATTCAAGGCTATGTTAGAAACTATTATCTAATAGCCCCATGCCATACATAACATGGACATTTCATTTGATTCATGTCAAAACAACATACATTATAATTTTAGCTTAAGATCAGTAGTACTAAACAATAACAACAACAATGTCTAGTCCCACTAGATGAGGTCGAGCACAAGGATCATTCAATGTCATTTAACCCGGTTAAGAGTAATAGCAGCAAATTATGCTTAATTTAGTAAAATATAATAACACCATATATGATTGCATATGGTCAATATACATGCAATATCTAGGTTAGTTACAAACTAAAAGAAAAAAAAGGGGCAAATGCACTTGAGCAATATATCATTGTAATAGATTTTTTTGTTAGAATAATTATAAAAGTAGCTGCATAAAAACAATAGCATAAACTACATGCAAAAAACTTAAATCATTACATTTCAAGAGAACTAACAGATCTTACAAAGAAGGAATTGATCCTCTTCCATTTAGGAGAAGATTTCCCCAAGTTTTGTATCTCTCTAGTCTCTACCACGATTAGAGAGAACTTGAGGAGCATGAAACCAATCCAAACAGGAGAGGATCAAAATCCCCTACACAAAAAAGATCAAAAGAATTACCTGATAGGAACTTATAATCTGTACATGGCCAGAAGTATTAAATTTGGCCAATCTTTAGGCACAAGCTCCAATTAATTCAACATGATTTTCTCTTTCAGAATCTTCCATTTGATCAAGGTCTGATGCAAATCATTAGCCTCTTTTAGCATGCCCCCATCAGCAACAGCTTTAATTAAAGCAGAATATATCCATTCATCTGGTTTGCATTGACTTTTTACCATCAAATCTAGAACTTGAATAGCAATATCAACCTTCTTTTGTTTGCATAATCCAAGGATTACACATCTATAAGCAGTAATTTTAATCTTTTGTTCTTTCTTACATATCTCCTTTAGTAGCTCCGTAGCTTCCTCAAGTTGGTCTGCCTCACAAAACCCCCAAATCAAACTAGTGTGAGTAATTTCATCAGGAACGATTCCTTTTCCCACCATTTCATCATACAAATTTTTTGCCGACTCCATAGATCCCATTCTAGCCAACCCATCAATTACAATATTATAGGTGACCAACCCAGGAGAACAGCTAGTACCTACCAAAAAGTTAAGTAACTGGATGCCCTCATCTATAAACCCCTCCTTACACAAACCACCAAGAAGAGTATTGTACGTTATAATGTCTGGTGAACAGTTCTCAGTAACCATTGTGCTGTAGAAGCTAATGGCACGATCCAAAAGTCCAGATTTACATAAACCGTTTAGTAGAATATTGTACGTAACTGGTGTAGGTGGACAGGAAGTCTCGTTCATAATCTTCACAATATCATCAACTTCATCCCAGAATCCATGTCGACTGAGAGAGTGGATGAGAGTATTGTATGTCACAGCATTGGGCTGCATCCCATGGGATAGAAGATTTAATATAACCAAAGCAGTATCCTCGTATTTCCCTCGTTTAGAAGTCAAGTTTACAAGAGAGTTATATGTAACAATATCCGGATAACAGCCTTCCATTGCCATATCTTCCAGTACTTCTAGGGCTCGAGCAGCCCCACAATATCTACAGACCAGCTCAATAAGCACCGTGTAGGTAATGAGATAAGGAGGGCAGCCTTTTCTCAATTGGTCTCTCCAGAAATTAACAGCCTGATTAAAATTCCCCTTATCAAATAGGCAGCGAATTATTGTATTATAAGTAATTGCATCTGGGGAGCAACCACTCAAGCTCATATCTTCTACCAGATCTACAGCAGATCTTAAACGACCTTTTTTACACAGGCCACCAATAACCATATTGTATGTAATTATGTCAGGAAT